AATGTCAGTTCCCGAATGAAATTAAATGATGATTTTAATCCTACCACCTTCAACACTCCTTCGTTTGTCCCATATTTTATTTAGTGTATGTATGGATACACCAGCTACTCAGAAAAAAAATCCCAGCTCACCAGCTTCCCCAGTAAATTGCTGAAAAATCCAAAAGTCCGCTGAACACAACTTGCCTCGATTATCGTTCAAACGAGGCCAAATACCCGTGTATTTAACCTCCCCAGTGTTGAGCAAGATTGGTTAAGTGGAAGTGGTGGGACGGATGAATGTTCCCGAATTAAATGATGTGAATATCCGATTCGGGATGCATTCATCGAGCAACTGCCCAGACGAGATGGGAGGTAAAAGACATGAGTTGAGATGTATTACTAGTACAAGACGAGCCGTGTTCATACAGAGGGACAAGTGGAAGGCACGAGAGTGCTCGATCGCGTTCTCGAGTCTTGACATCCCTGCGCACAACGCCGCCGTGCTCTTCATCTCCCCAGTATGCCGAACTCGACATCCGACTCCTCCTCAAGTCCGCATACTTCGACACCCATGCTGAACCCCACATACTCGCATAGTCGACACAGCGCATGCCTGGCGTCGCCACGTGCAACGTTGCGGTGCCCATCGTCTTTGCTGCTGGCATGCGAAGCGAAACGGTATGCTCCACAGCCAACTGAGAGAACCATGCTTCATGACTCCCGCTGCGTGCTTATCGTATCCACGCTGCTCGACGGCCGCGTCCCCGCGCTCAACACCACCGCACCCAACGCCTCTGCGGTGGACGAGGCTGCCAGCCACGCAGGTAACGCAGCATGCGGACAGCAGTGGTGGGAAGGAGAAAGGGATGAGAAGGGAGCTGGGGCGAAGAAGACGAATTGGCAGATATTGAATATGCCGCTATCAACGTCGTCAGTTGCTTTCCGACGCACCGGTACACTCCGCAGTCGTATTCAAGAAACAATCCCCCGGAGATTGAGCCCACACGTTGTCTATCCCCGCACCCAAAACCTAGGTGGTCGACGAGGCAGTCAGCCAGTCTTCATCACGGCGTGTCCTGAAGCACGACAGGTGGGGAACGCAGCAGGCGGGCAGCATACGTGAGCCCGCCAGACAACGATGTGGAGGAGAGGAGGGGAATGGGACGAGAATGGGACGAGAAGGCAGCCGGAGCGAGGGAGACGAATTGGCGGATGATGAACATGTCATCGTCAGCTGTTTTCCTGGCCGTCAGCTTTTCCCTGGCACAGAAGACGGCGCGGTTACGGTGTTAGTTGGATCAAATTCCCTAATCGGTGTAGCCCAATTTGCTTGCAAATTGAAAACAAATGGGACAAACTTGCAAACTAAAAAGGAAATATTTCACGTGAACACCGGCAACTTGGCACTCTCCCACGAGTGCTCGCTTGGTGCTCGCGCGCTGATTTGGGTCTCTTTCAATCGATCTCACTCGATCCTGCACCATTTTGTGAGATATAAGTCACATCTCAAAGGTACGTGGAATGGTCATGTATTTATCAATCTTGTGAGGTTTGTAGATTCGGAGAAGTATTATAAATTGATAGCTTGATGCAGTGTCGGAAAAATGTGATCCGAATTATAATTGGACGTGGTTATTATGAGATGATAAGCGATTGTAATAGATTGTGATCAATTTTGATCAACATGCGAGAAAGCCAACAATCAATCAAACTGCGCTGGGGACATGCTGGTCACGTCACGTTCTGTGCGGGAAGTGCACAGGTCACACAGCAGCCTCAGTGAACCAGATTACCACTGAGATTGGGAAATCCAGCCCACTTGTTCGTAGATTCTCCTCAATTATAATTCAATTATAAAAGGCTGTTTTGATTATGATATTATTTTTTTATAATCGGTGTATAATTGATTATAATTGGATTATAATCAAAAACAGCTTTTTCCGACAGCATCGCATGTGTGATATGAAAACCGGTCGGGGAGCTTTCTACACTATTGGGAATCTGGAAATGAATGGCGGGTCAAGTGAAGGACCTCTCAAGGCCAGGTATATCACACTATTGGTGCATGAAGACTGTTTCTCAGCTCTTGAACATGGAATCCCAGCATTACGGGAAATATCATCATGGCATCCATGCTACGCACGGCAACAAATCAACGACACGGCAGATACTTGTCAATGAAGTACATCTGCTATGGCCTCACATTTCCCGCACAGCAAGCCACTTGGCGACTTGAAAGTAGCTCTCTCTGATCCAGATCAATTTCTTGGGAAGGGCAACTCTGCCAAGTTTCCACAGGGAAATTATCTACCATTGGATCAAAGGAGTGGAATAGCACTAGAGTGTCACACCTGAAGTTGCCGAGGGAAGGCGATCAGAAGGAGGGGTGTTGAGCATGAAAGATCATTGAATCATGACAACATCATTGATGCGGCATCTCGGCACCGCTTCATCTGCAGCACCTGTCTGACTGATTCCGAGTAGATAACAGTGGTGCTGCTTTGTAGGACTCAGATGGACAATAGCCTAGTGAGTTCTCTCTTTCTCTTTCCCTTCCCTTTCCTTTTTTGGTGAATTTTTTGTAATTCTTTGGGCACCAACAACACCGTCACCGAGCCCAGAAGACCACCTCGACACACCTGTATATTCCGCAGTCGGATGCAAGCAACAATTCCCCCGAGATTTAGCCCACACACTGATGCAAAGACCCAGCTGGCTAGCTTGCTGGTGCGGTTCGAAGACCCAGGGACCGAGGACAAGGAAGAGGAACCAGACTAGCCAAGATACGAATAGAGCGAAGAGAGTGATGTGCCAGGGAGTGCAGGCAGTTGACGAGGAGGGCCAGACAAGAGAGGGCCGAGGGAGAGAGCAGGGAAGCACACGTAAGTATCGGTCCCGCAGTCCGAATTGCACCCGAATTGCACCCGTAATGGCACCATTTTAATTTCTTTCTCATCTCTCGTCTCTCTGCTCAACCACCCTTGCTCTCTCGACTGAGGCCGCGCTATCAGTTTCCAGCCTCTCACCGCATCCCCTCCGTCTCATATCGCTGCCCAGCCTATCCCGCCACCAAGCCCGAGCCCGAGCCCAGGCCCTGCCCATGCCGCCGAATGGCAGCGCTATGTACCATCACCCTCTCCGTGACGCGCCCATCGCGTTCCCGTACATAGCTGGGTGACGCACTCCTATCGCGAGTATTGCTGGCGCTGCCCGCTGATGCTGCCTGCCGCGGATTGATTCCTGGCGCGTGTGTATCCGGGTGTGCTGGGTTCTGCCCCGTTTTCCGTGGAGCTATCCGCTGATTTACGCTTTTCCGGCGTGTTTTTCGCGGCCCGACCGCGCTGCCTTCTTCCCCCCTTCCCTCTTCCACCCCACATCTCGTTGATGTGTGCAGCTGCCAGCCGGAGCGCTTTTGAGCAGCCGCGCCGCTTCCCCCCCGCATTTTTCGTAGATTTGATGTCCCCGGGAGTTGCTGTAGCATGAATAAAATCAAAATTCCAATCATTTATTTCGGACTCCGATCACATCCAACGGCAGTCAAACCGTCGCCCGCGGCAGGCCAAACACAGAGAAAATGTGCCGCAAATGCTGAAGCATGAGTCATGTGAGATGAGTGAGATAGGGAGATGAGGGGGACCAGGCCCACGACGAGGAGGTGTCGGAGAGGATATACCAGCTGGGTGGGCCTGGGAGGAGGCATTAATACTAATAGAACCACTTCAATAGCATTCCATGTAATTTCCTTTATTAGAAATTCGACAAATAGCTCCAGTCTGTCTTACTTCTACTGCATTTTATGGGTTTTATTGCAGCATGTACAGTGTACTCGGTGTTTATGTAGTTTAAGTCCAAATTTATCGAATTTATTGCGCCTTTTGTTGCGACATTTATTGTGACATGGGGCGCCGGCTTCTATCCCTTCTAACTAGAAGGGACGGTACCCCCCACCGTCCCTTCTAGTTAGTGGGGATATGAGGTATCTATAGGTGGGGCGGTGAGACCTCAGAAGGGTGTCGTGGAAGGCCTGAGTGGTCGTGGTGGTAAAAGAAAACCGCTTTGATGAGCCGATAGCTGATGGTTGATGGCCCGGGCTGGGATGGCAAGCTCTGGAGGATCCAGGATCAAATAATTCCCACCTGCGGATTCCCTGGCCGGGACAGGCCCCGTCTCCTTTCTTCAGCGACCCGCCCCTCCTTGCAAGTTACTCGGCCACGAAAATCTCCAAAAAATATGTCCGGGCTTCCTTACTGCTCATTAGGCGCGACAGCTATGAGCTCAACGGGTGCACTGGAGGGAATTTCCTTGTCAGACTTTGAACTTGCCGGATATCCGCTGTTGGACGTGTCGGCCTATTGGGAATTTGGCGCCGTATGAATTGCCGTAACCGTTGAATGGTGGGCTTTTACGCTTTGTCGACCAGGGGCCTGCCGAGTGTTGAAGACGTTGTCATACCCGTCGCCTGCGCTCTCGCTCGAATTGTCTCTCTCGGAATCGCAACTCTGGTCCTGGAGGTGAATGCTTTTCCAACTTCAACAAGCCTTTCACCTCTGCTTGGCTCGCCTCACCCAAACATTCGATACTTCGCCTGCAATTCGGTCTGCAACTTGGTTCAACGTGATTTCTCGGACATCTTGGCTGCGGCATTGGAGGCGATACCAATTCAAAAACTCTCTCCCAGTTGCAGTGGTGGGTTTTCGACTTCCGTATTTTTTAAGAAGTGCTGAAGAATTGTGTCATCAGGGATATGGATGAGGAGGTTGTTCGAATAGCATCCCAGACGCTGGCTCGAATTTCTCAATCGTCGGCCGCTTGCACATAATTTCATCAAGTGTAGTCGGGCATGATTCGGTCGTCCGGGAAGCCCTCGCCAAGCCCTCGTGGAATTGGACTTCTAGAATCAAAATCGTTCACAGGCTCCACCGTGACCAAGCACCTGTGGTGCCCGATCTTCGAAGTCAAAGCACGAGTCACGGTCGGTTTGACTTTGAAGCAAAAGCACGGCCAGCGAACAAATTGCAATACACGCAAGGGGAGTCGAACCCCTGCCGCTTGCTTCAAAGGCAAAGAGAAGGCGATGGATGGATGGCAAGCATGATACCGTTTCACTATGCGTGTTTCCGTAGGGGAAGACTTCTGGGAATCCTGAGCCAGGCAGCCACTATGTAGGAACGACTAGAAAATGTTTGAGTAATTGTCCAGACTGGAGTGGTCACTGGTCGTTCTACTCCCAGGTGAACACGCGGAATGACGCCGGGCCGGCACGTGATTTCGCGTATCTCCTTCCTCTTGACCACCACGGTGACGTAGCCACTGAGCTCTGCTACGCGCCCGATGACCTCCGTTTTGATTGGGCTGTCGTCCTTCAGCTGACCTGTGCCTTTTAGATTTCAAGCTTCCTCGATGTGGCTCCGCTTCATCATCTTCTCGAACAATCCGCCAGATCACTGTGCACGCTCTCCGGTGTGCACTGTGACTGTTGTTGGCGCAGATGTATTGAGGAAGTAACTGGACGTGGTGAGACGTCCGAATTCACGCAGATAGTAGTTGTGTTCAAATAAGTTGGTTAGCCTAGCGTACAGAATACAGGCTCATTTATACTACTGGGTGTACAGCCTTGTGAGTCAGTACGGAGTCATAATTGGAGTCAGTTCGACTCATGAATATCAAGCTTACTCAGAGGCTTACTCAGACTGGCGGATTGCCCGAGGCACTAATTCCAACACTCCCCCTCAAGCCGCCAGTAGTCCCATTTCCTGCGTGAACTTCCATGCTTGATACGAGGAAAAGCCTTCGTGAAAATATCTGCAAGCATATCTGCAGTGGGGCAATATTCAATGTATACGATTCCGCGTTCAACCTTCTCGCGAATAAAATGATTCTCGATATCGAAGTGTTTCGAGCGAGCGTGATGTCGCGGATCGTGCGCAATAGTAATGGCGGATTGATTGTCGGAGTATATGAGGGTAGGTTGGTCGTTTCCTCCGATTCCGAGTTCTTGGAACAAATAACGAAGCCAGATTGCTTGTCGAGTTGCAGCGGTGAGAGCCGAATATTCTGCTTCGGCGGTGCTGAGTGCAACGGTCGGTTGTTTCTTGGAGTGCCATGCGATGGGTCCTCCTCCGAGCATGTAAACATGTCCCGATACTGACTTTCGGTCGTCGGGGTTGGAAGCAAAGTCGGCGTCGCTAAACGCTCCGTGTGTCGTCATGACAGGTGTGGCCGTGCCGGTGATCGGGCCGTAAGTGATTCGCAGGTGACGCGTCCCTTTCAAGTAGCGGAAGACTCTCTTCATCGCCGTCCAGTGTGCTGGGCCAGGGTTAGCGGCATACGCGCCAAGTCTCGCAACTGCGAATGCGATATCTGGGCGACTTATCGTGGCTGGCCAGATCAACGATCCCATGTGCTCGGCGTAGCTGCGGCCTCGCTCATCCGTCGTCTGTCCGGATTTCTCGAATTTCTCGAGTACGACGTTGGGGTCCATCGGCGTGGTGACTGGGGACATGTTCTCGTACCCGAAGCGCTTCAAAATCCCGTCGATATAATGTTCTTGGGAGATCTGGATGGTGCGTGCTTGTCTGTCACGGTAGATTTCGATGCCGATTAATTTCTTAGGTTCCCCGATGTCGTTGATCTCTACTTCCTGCTTCAACGCGGTCTCCACGGCACTGAGCATCGTTGGGTTATTGCTGAAGAGCAGCAAGTCGTCTACCCATACGGTAATGACGATGAATTTATCCTTGAATCGTCGCATATAGACGCCGTGGTCGACTTCAATTCGTTCGAAGCCTAGGTTGGTGAGTAGGGTGTGCAGTTTGCGATTCCATTCGCGGCCTGACTGCTTGAGGCCATATAGCGTCTTTTTGAGTCGGCAGACGCGGCCAGATCCGTCTTCGTAGCCTGGCGGCTGAGCCATATATATTTCCTCGGAGAGATCGCCATTGAGGTAAGCTCCTTTGACATCAAGTTGCTTCATCTCTAAATCTTCGATAGCGGCGACGGCTAATAGCGCTCTGAGGGACTCAAGGCGTACGACGGGAGAAAAGGTGTCGAAGTAATCCATGCCGGGGATCTGTGAGTATCCCTTCGCGACGAGTCTGGCCTTGTACTTGACGATCTGACCTTTCTGGTCGGTTTTCAAGTCAAATACCCATTTAAATCCAACGGGCTTGCGGTCCTTGGGGCAATCTTCGAGCTCCCAGGTACCCATGCGACTCAACGTGCCGAGTTCGGTGTTGATCGCACTTTCCCATTCAGGCCATTTCGGCGACTCTCGCGCTTCGCGCACACTTCGGGGTATGTCGATTCCAGTTGTAACTTCCCCCACTGATGCTTGATGTGCATAGTGCGCTCCGTGTTCAATTGACTCCTCTTCAGCATCAGCGACCGCTTCGGAAGCTGAATTATCGTCTCGACTTGTGCGCGGGGCTTTTCCCATACGCGAATCTGGATTCCCCAGCTGCCGGTAGTTGTGATCGACAACGGTACGTGTCAATCTACGCAGCGGGATGTTGTTGAGACGATTGGGACTGCTATCATAGACAGTCTCGAGCTTGGTATTGGATGGAGCCGGTTTAACTGTGCGAGCGGGGGTCGATGGTGCTGCCGTTTGCAGTGGGACAGGTGAGTTAGCATTGTCTTCATTGTCGGATTCCGATTCTGATGATGCAGGAAGGGGTATGGTGGCCGGGTTGGGTGGTTTCGGTTTCGTCTTCGTGCCAGGTTGCTTTGAAGTTTGCGGAGATGGCAGTTTGCCCTTCCCCGATGACTCCCCCTCAAGCTGCCGTTCGTCCGAATCAACTTCAAAGTATTTCAACTCTGTAATCGGTTTATCCGGCTCCGTGAACGTGAAGTTTCGCGATATTTTGACCCTGTGAGTTTTCGTATCATAATAGCGAACAGCGTGAGGGCCGTCTTCGTATCCCACGAAGATAAATTTGTTGGCATGCCCGAACAGTTTCCCGTTTTTCTTGAGCTCTTGATAGATCCAGACGTCCGTTCCAAATTCTTGAAAGTGAGCAACGTTGGGTTTTTCGCCTGTAAAAGCCTCGTGGGGCGTCAACCCTTCCGGTAACGCTTTCGTTGGTGACCGATTCCGAATATATGCAGCGTGGACGACTGCTAATTCCCACAGGCTCTTTGGAAGATTCCTCTCCTCCAGCATGGCTCTTGCCAATTCCACGAGTGTCCGATTCAGGCGTTCTGCCACGCCATTCTGTGACTGTGAGTACGGAGCAGTGGTTTGAATCTCGATGCCTTTCTTGGCAAGCACTGCTTTTAATTCCGCATTCACGAACTCACGGCCTTCGTCCACACGAATCCATTTAGGTTTGCAGTTGAACTGCCGTTCCAACCACTCGATATGGTTGATAACCTTCTGCTTTGCTTCGTCTTTTGACTTCAAAAACAGAATTGTGATTCGGTGAGTCTTGTCGTCGGTGAAGGAGATATAATAATAATTCCCCTCAGTTGACTTTGTACGAGCCGGACCCCAGAGGTCGCTGTGAGTACCATCACCACGCTGTTCGGACCGATTGGAGGATTTCTTGGGGAAAGGTTTGCGATGCATCTTGGACTTGATACAAGTTTCACACTGGCCAAGTGGAGTGCTGTCGGGATCAATGGTGAGTCCATCCACACCTCCCTTCTTGACAAGCAACTCCAATGTCGAGTTAGACACATGTCCATAGCGCTTGTGCCAGGATTGCCAGGAATTCGAGTCATTTGACTCGGCAACATTTGCCTGGTTTACGGGCTTCGCTTTCACGTCGAGCCAGTAAAGTCTGTGTCGCTTATGCCCCTGGAGTGCAACAGCTCCAGTTTTATCCAGAATTTCAACCTTTCCGTTCTTGAAATTTGAACTGCCTCCGGCGTCATCAGCGCGGGAGACCGAGAATAGGTAAGGTTCACCAGGGGTAGAGGTAGAGGTACGAGTGGCCCTACCTCTACCCTTACCTCCGAAACCTCTGACCCTTCAGAGGTTGACCTCTACCTTACCTCTGGACCTCTGATGTGCCATCAATTTCTGATAAAAGACATGATGGCACATAAAATCAGTCAGAACTTTGAAAATTGTGAACCCAAACTCATCTTCTTGGCCCTACAATGTTATACCAGCTCAATTTGACCACCAGAGTCATGATTTCTTGACAAATGTGATCATCATCAACACAGATCAAAATTTGATCGCCATCAAGAAAAAACTGTTCTGGTCCAAAAAGTGTCTCCGAGTCTATTTCTGAACAGTTTGAACCAAACCTTGCTGTACCTCTGAACCTCCAAAGGTCTGTCAAAGGTCGGGAGGTTTCAGCTAGTTCGTACCTCCACCTCTACCTCTGTCGACCTTACCTCTGACCTTCGGAGGTAGACCTCTACCCCTGGTGAACCTTAATTCAGAATAGGTTGTTGACTGCGTCCGGTGCGTACAAAGTGTCATGGAGAGTAATTATATTTGACTTTCCATCCGTAGACTCGAGGATCACTGTGCCTTTGCCCAGTGCCTTTACTTTGTTGTTTGCTAGACCAGTAATCGTCTCGCCATCAACGGGCGTATAATTCTGGAACAAGGCGAGATTGTTGGCAATGTGAGTTGAGCATCCTGAATCAGCCAACCAAGTGTCCTGCATTGGACGCGAATCGGACTGGGCGTATCCCGTGAGTCCATAATGATTGCTATCGGGAGTTTCAGTTGCACTAACATTTGCGGTGTGCTTACCTTTCTTTCCCTTCTCAGACTTCTTCTTCCAGTGAGCTGGATATTGGCCCCCCTTTCCACCTCCTTTCGCAAAACAATCCTTCGCGCGGTGGCCGGGCTTTTGGCAGTTGAAGCAAGTCTCCTCCGAACTACTCTGGTCTTTACGAGAGAACATTGCCGATGATCCTCCAGATTCAGCGGCCTTCTCCTTGCGCCTGCGATCTTCATCAAGAATCAATGAAATCAACTCAAGAGAAGTCATAAGCGGCGGAGAAACAGGCAAGGGACTACCGGTACTTGACTGTGCAGCAGCAGCAGCCTTCTGGTTCAAATTCTTGGTTGCCAAATGAGACGAGGTAAATTGATCCCAAGTTTCTGGGAGGGACGTGATCAATGCCATGATAAAATCTTCGTCCTTCACCTC